GAACAGGAGTGGCATGCATAACCTTTAAATGCTAAATTTTTTGTGCATTATTAACCCTAGAGAACTAGAAAGTCTCATAACAATTTTTCCTCCTTGATAGGAGTCTGATGTAGTATACGTTCCCTGTAGTGGTCTCACTGGTGAGAATTTAACAGGGTCTTCCCAAGAGCCTCTGCTGCGCGCCTGGTATAATGGACCCTCCTTATTGGACAGAATAGGTATAATAGCAGTTCTTAAAGAAATATTTTAAACATTGGTAAAAAGCATAGAACATAGGAATGAGTAAATCCTCTCTGGGGTGTAAAACCCAACCAGTACTGATTTGGTTGTCAGACGCTTTACCATCTTTGGATAGTTTAGCTATCTACCAGGGTGTAGTTCGATTGATTGTTGTTAAACCAAAACAAGAGTTTCCTCATCGGCTAATCAGAAGAAAGGAAATATCATAAAGAACCAATGAGAATCTAAGGTAAAAATACGGCAAACTGTGGGAAGTGCGGGCAAACGTGAGTGGTCAATTCGCAATTGGCTTAAGTTTTAAATCTGATTGGTTGAGTGAATGGCGCGAGTTTTCTTGACTAATCGCGCAGCGAAGTAAAGAAAGACCAAAGCAATCCCGGATTGCGTTCGACACCCAATTGGAAATTGATTTATGTGTTGAGAATCCTGCCATTGCCAAGGTCAGTAGTCAATTTCAAAAGCATCGTTTGTGATAAGTAAGATGAAAGGGTGTGAACGATAGAAAAGCCAGCTTGTTCTTTCAAAATGTCATTTGTTTGAAGAATCAATATTTGTTACGATGAAGAAATGATGGTACCAGTCACAAAGTGTCAAATATATTCAGTTCTGGAACTTAAAAATTTTTTTATTTTCAATAGACAATTTTAGGCCTCCAAAGAGGGATTTGGACAAGCCATTCAGGTTTTGTGTATCAGATATTTATAAAGGTAAGTTTTACTTTGTGTGGTCCAGAGTAAACGTGATATTTAGCTATTTCTTTGACAATGAAAGCTGGTTTGAGCTAGTTTTTTTAGAACGGTCCTACCGTGAAAGTTGAGAAAATCGCCATTACTGCTTGATCTTATGCCGATTTCGAAAGCATATAGGAGAAAAAGGTCTGATTATTTAAACAACGTTTTGCCGTTGTTGTAAAAAGCGCGTCCAAAACAATCCTCAATTTAGCTAAATCTTTCATCTGAGCATTCATATTTGTGATCAGCGTCAAGAGGGCCGAAAGCTAACAGTGGAAGGGAATTTAGTTAATTCAATCAACCCTCTTGTAAAGATAGCACGAAGCTCACTGATTGCGTAAAACCGCGGTTTAGGTCAGACTATCGAGTAAACAACCAGCCCAAAGTGAGTGGAAGTACTCCCACTGTATGGGATGTCAGTCCATCGTTATCAATCCCTCAGTTTTGTTAGGTTTCCCTGAAATTTTGCCGGTACTTATATATATTCCGGGTCGGAGAGAAAGAAACCGTGAGAGTAAAGTAGCCAGGTCTCGGACCCAGACCTCTGACCGACCAAGGTACCATTGTGTCCTCGACAACACCAAAACAGCTAGGTTTGATTCAACAACACCAAGTAACACCCATGATTTGAGAGCCTCACAACATGTCTCGCAGAAATACTCATAGTTTTCGTCATTTTGAATGCTTTAGGCACATAGATAGGAAAAGTAACGTCTGGTTTCATTAAAACCTTCAACCCTTTAAATTTATTACAATCTTGGAACACTGAAAACAGTTTTTCGTGTACTTCAGGAATGGGAGCAGGAATAAACGTAACTGGTAAACTGGAAGCTGGTAGACTTCATGTTGGTGACAAGATTGTTGTTATGCCAGCAGGAGTGCAAGGACAGGTGAAAGGTGAGCAAAAACTTAGTTTACAAATAATGGTTGCGTGACAAAATTAAGGAAGAGCGCATTTTGATTGACTGATTTAGTGATTGAGGGAAGTCGCAATGGCCAATCAGAAAAGGAGAGCATTTCAAGCAGCCAATGGGACGCAAGTTGATTGGTCGAGAACTTGGCGCCAGATTTCTTGGCTAACCACAGAGCGGTAATNAGTCACAAAGTGTCAAATATATTCAGTTCTGGAACTTAAAAATTTTTTTATTTTCAATAGACAATTTTAGGCCTCCAAAGAGGGATTTGGACAAGCCATTCAGGTTTTGTGTATCAGATATTTATAAAGGTAAGTTTTACTTTGTGTGGTCCAGAGTAAACGTGATATTTAGCTATTTCTTTGACAATGAAAGCTGGTTTGAGCTAGTTTTTTTAGAACGGTCCTACCGTGAAAGTTGAGAAAATCGCCATTACTGCTTGATCTTATGCCGATTTCTAAAGCATATAGGAGAAAAAGGTCTGATTATTTAAACAACGTTTTGCCGTTGTTGTAAAAAGCGCGTCCAAAACAATCCTCAATTTAGCTAAATCTTTCATCTGAGCATTCATATTTGTGATCAGCGTCAAGAGGGCCGAAGTTAACAGTGGAAGGGAATTTAGTTAATTCAATCAACCCTCTTGTAAAGATAGCACGAAGCCCACTGATTGCGTAAAACCGCGGTTTAGGTCAGACTTCGAGTAAATAACCAGTCCAAAGTGAGTGGAAGTACTCCCACTGTATGGGATGTCAGTCCATCGTTATCAATCCCTCAGTTTTGTTAGGTTTCCCTGAAATTTTGCCGGTACTTATATATATTCCGGGTCGGAGAGAAAGAAACCGTGAGAGTAAAGTAGCCAGGTCTCGGACCCAGACCTCTGACCGACCAAGGTACCATTGTGTCCTCGACAACACCAAAACAGCTAGGTTTGATTCAACAACACCAAGTAACACCCATGATTTGAGAGCCTCACAACATGTCTCGCAGAAATACTCATAGTTTTCGTCATTTTGAATGCTTTAGGCACATAGATAGGAAAAGTAACGTCTGGTTTCATTAAAACCTTCAACCCTTTAAATTTATTACAATCTTGGAACACTGAAAACAGTTTTTCGTGTACTTCAGGAATGGGAGCAGGAATAAACGTAACTGGTAAACTGGAAGCTGGTAGACTTCATGTTGGTGACAAGATTGTTGTTATGCCAGCAGGAGTGCAAGGACAGGTGAAAGGTGAGCAAAAACTTAGTTTACAAATAATGGTTGCGTGACAAAATTAAGGAAGAGCGCATTTTGATTGACTGATTCAGTGATTGAGGGAAGTCGTAATGGCCAATCAGAAAAGGAGAGCATTTCAAGCAGCCAATGGGACGCAAGTTGATTGGTCGAGAACTTGGCGCCAGATTTCTTGGCTAACCACAGAGCGGTAATAAACCAGCGCAATCCAGTGATACTTTTGAGGCTCAATTTTATATTTCTGTGACCAACTGTTGCTTCACTAGAAGCGAACAGAGGTTGTACACTTCTCAGTTCAATGATAAGGAATTAATTTGTCTGTTTTCTAGATTTGTGTTGATTCAATTCCACCTTAAAGGATATTAAGATGTTTGGCTAGACGCTTTTATCATGTTGGAGCATGTTATTCCTCCATGACGGTTTTAGAAACCGTCATGCGCTGGGCAGAATGCTTTTTAATCCTTAAGGCTATTCGTTGTTGGGCTAGCACAGGCAGCCCAGCATATGAGAAAGCCTTTCTCTTCAATCTTGGAACAATTTGATCAACTTTCAACTGACAATTGTCCTCTTCAGGGCAGTCCCAGGGCTCTTCTGTGCTTTGGACTGTACAAGGTGAAGGCTTGGCAGCAGGGCGAAAAGTGTCCATCTGTTGTTCTTTTTGTAATTTTAACAGAGTCGGCAAAGCGTCTTTTGTCACTGATATTCCTATGAACAAACCAAGTATAGTTATACTTTGTCTAAAGAGCACTTTTGAATTGAGCGCGGAAAGTAATCCGGGAGTTTATTAGTTCTGTTTACTTCGCTGTGTGATTGGTCCAGAAAAGTTGGGCCATCCTCTCAACCAATCAAACAAGTCTGATCGAAGCCTGGTCATCCGCGTTTTCCCGCGCTTTAGGCCTAGCCTGATTGGCTCCTTGTGTTATTTAACCATGTTCTGATTGGCGATAGTGATTACTTTGGCTTCACAACATCGTCGAAAAGCGATTTATAATTTTCTACCGATGCATTATAAACAAACCAATGTTGCTACCGTTAACATAGATATTATTTACTCTGAACTTCGCAATACTACGGTGTCTAGTCCTTTTGACAAACTAAACTCTGATCACCTCACCTCACTTTAGGTGATACTACCTGGTTTATTCCGTTTTTCAATCTGAAAAGAGAACTTAAACACGGTATCACTTACCATTGCGTACTCGAGGCTGTTTGGGTTTATCCTGTACCGGCGTTATCGCCTGAAATGCCGATGGTTTTTCATTGTGGACAGTAATTGTGAGCTGTTCTGCCACTTCTGGGAACTTTGCACTAAACAAAGAGAACCCAAACCAGCATTGATGTTATCTTAAATGAACCAGGAACTACGCTGATTTCTGCCAATAACCACTATTAGTTATGCTAAAACAGTGGATAGCGTTGAAGGCGCACTCTGATTGGCTAGTCAAACTCAGAATATCCTTTGCTA